AAATCCCTTGATGCTGGTGAGAGTGGGGTGGGGATGAGGAGATACTGTGGTGGGGTGGGGGAATAGTTAATGTCTTCTCATAGTCACAAAGGTAGTAATAGTCCTGAAGGATCTGAATTCAGGTCATCTGGCTTTAGAATCAGTATTTTTCTTCACTGTACCACATTACTCATCCAGGTTTTCCCTCAATAGAATGTAAACTCCTTGAGGGTAGGAACTATCTTTGTATAACCAGAACTTGGCAGCTAATGGATAGAGTGCTGTTCCTGATTTCAGGAAGATTCCTTTTCTTGAGTTCCAATCTGGCCTATTTACTAGCTGTATGATCCTGGGGCAAGTGATTTTGCCCCGTTTGCCTCAGTTTCCTCATCTGTAAAATGAACTGGAGAAGGAAATGGCAAACCACTCCAGTATCTTCATTAAGAAAACCCTAAATGGGGTTATGAAAGGTCAGACAGGACTGAAATGACTGAACAGCAGCTCAGAACCTAGAACAATGCCTAGCTATAATAGATGCTACACAAAACTATTAATTTATTGATTGCCTGAAATTTCATTTAATGTTTTTCCTTAGGGAGCCCAAGGAGATATTTTCACATGCCAACATTTATATTAAAGGTAGAAGGGAATTTATTTAGACTAGCAAATGATTTTTCTTTATAATAGTACTATAAACAGAGCATTTATTATTCTTATTGCCTTTATTTGAATTCAAAGGAAATCATGGTCATATGCCAAGACCAAACCCAGAAATTGAGTGAGCTGAATGTTTCATTCTTAATTTGATTTGTATGATTTATACAGACCTACCTACATTTGGTCAACTCTCCAGCATCCTAAGGAGGCAGATAGAACATATTTGATGTGGAGAAATGGGACCCCAAAGTGTTAAGAGATTTTTCAAGGGTCACCTAATGACCTAATAATTGAATCAGCACTCCAAATCTGAACTCAGAACCCTTTCATCTTTCTAACAATATCTGTTAATATTTATTGGTTATACTCACTGTTGAAGCACTTTACAAATATTATCTCATTGGATCCTCACAGCAACACTGTGAGGGAGACACTATTATTATTACCATTTTATAATTGAGGAAACTGAAGTAGACAGAGGTTCAGTAACTTGCCCATGTATACACAGCTAGTAAGTGTTTGAGGCTGAACGATATCAATACACATTGGTAGAAAAAGTTGCTATCTGGGAACTTATAACTCTTATGAAATCACAGATTTGTTTTAAAGAAGTAAAAAGGGGTCAGATAATGATAAGAAGGGTCATCCTTGCTTTGTCTCTATATTTGTTAGGAAAAGTTTTAGTGTTTTTCTTTTGCAAATAATGCTAACTTTTGGTTTTAGATATGTAATTTTCATCATATTAAAATGGCCCTTTTCTACCATTGGACTTTTCCTGCATCTATTGATATAAATGTGGCTTTGTTTGTTTCTGTCTTAATTTGAGTAATCATTTTAATAGTTTTCTTAATATAGAATAATACTTGCCTCTCCAGGATAAATCTAACTTGGTCATAGTGAATAATCTTTTGCATATATTGCCATAGTCTTTTTGCTAGAATTTCATTTACAATTTTGGCATCAATAGTTATTTGTGACCTTGTTTATAGTTTTTTCTCACATTATTACTCACTGGTTTAGTTAGTGGGATCACATCTGCCTTTGTAAAAGGGGTTTGTTCAAGTGTTCTCTTTCTCAGTTTTTTGAGAATAATTTGACATTTAAAATATTTGATAGAATTCAGTTGTAAAGCTGTCTGGAGGAGAAATTTTCTTTAGTAGTTCCTTTGTGACTTGTTCAATTTCATTTTCTGAAATGGGGTTATTTATAATATTTTAATTTGAGTATTTTATATTTTTGTAACACCAGTGCAGGGTTTCTTAACTTGGGTTTCAGAAACTTTAAAAAATATTTCTGATAACTGTATTTCAATAAATTGATTTGTTTAGTAATCCTATACATTAAATCCATAAAATATTGTGCATTTAAAAATATTATTCTCAGGAAGGGGTCCATAGGCTTCATTGAAATGCCAAAGGAATCCATGACACAGAAAAAGGTTATGAACCCCTACAATAATTTTCTCTCTTAGATACTTTTTTTGTTCTAAGATTGAAGACGGCAGCAAATCAAAGCTAAGACACTGATATAATCACTACCCCTATCTTAGAATGAAAGTAGAAGGTGTGTGGGAAGCAAGGATGACTATTGATAGGTATGTAAAGGTAATTGCTACCATGACCTTTCCCAATTACAATGGAATATGCCCTTTGAGCTTCTTATTTCTACATCTTATTTCTGGACGAGAATCCAGACTCTTCTGGAAGACCTCTTTTGATAATGCAGTCATTCTCATCAAGATTTTTATCCTTAAGTTTTTGTATTTTCTAGCTCTAGAACACTTTGAGATTTGAAACATGTTGTTGGAAACAATAAATACTTATCTGAGGCATATTAGGGCATGGAAGAAGCCTGGGAAAAACTGTGTTTTGGGAAATGCTAAAGCAAAATGGAGGAGTTTAATTCCATTTTAATTAACATTAAAAAATGACCACAAATGAGTATTGAATGTTCTCAAAATCTTAGTGCACTTTGAAACTTTCATGGCCTAAAACTGCACTAAGACATTTAGGAGACCCTAAATTTTTAATGTATATATTATTTCATATTTTAAATGTTTGATACTCACATATTGGTAGTGACAGAGGCAGAGGCAGAGAGAGACAGAGTGACAGGAACAGACAGAAACAAAGACTAAAATAGAGACACACAAACAGAGAATGAGAGAGAAACAGAAACTTTAATACTTAAGGCAGGGTTTCTATGGTGAGACATCTGTAGGGGATAAAAACCATAGTATAAAAATGAACATTCATTTATTGGTAATTAATTAAATCTGAGTGCCTTTCCTCCTTATATCTAGGAAGGATGCTGCTGTATTCTCTCCAGAAGCTAAAGGGTTACACAATGATTCTACCCTGGAAGCGTTTTGCCTCTTGTTAATAAAACACTCGGAGCCTCTTTAGTTGGCCTTACTCTCAAATTTGAAATAGCACATTTTATGCTCTTTTAAAACCAAATTTGATCCTTCATAAGAATATAGCAACAAATTTTAAAACCAAATTTGATCCTCCATAGCAACAACTACGCAATTCTGGAGTATTTATATACATTATTCCCCTCCTTATACTCTAAGTTCAGGCCAAACTGGCTTTCTTGACATCTTTCACACATGAGATTCTATTCTAATCTTTGGGCCATTGTACTGGTTGTTCCCCATGGCTGGAATATAATCCATCTTTACTGACAATTTATAGAACTATTAATTCCTTCCAAAAATTACCTTGTATGTGTTTGGCATATACTTTGCAATGGAAACCTCATTTCTACAATGTTTTTTTCTCCCTCATTAGAATGTGAAGTCCCTGAAAGCATTGCCTCTATTTGGATACCTAGCACCTAGCATAGTGATTTGCACATAGAAAACATTTAATAAATGCTTTTCATTCGTTCATTAATTTATGTGTCTTGTAATTGAACATGTGCTCATGGAGGGTAGATTCTGTTTCCTTTTTAATTTTTATAGTCCTCAGTGGCTAGAAAAGTGCCTGCTATATATAGTCAGCATTTAATAAATGCTTGTTGATTTAATGACTGATCTGAAAAGCAAATCTGAAGGGATATAACGCTTGATAAGGACCGGAGAGAACAGCATTTTTTATCATGTTAACATCTAGCTCATTGGATAATATGGGACAAATTCTTTTCCCTTTCTTTGTCTTTGCTATAAATGAGAGGGGACAATGGTATTTTTGTAAGATGCAAAAACATCGGAAGCAAGAGTCACATTTCATTTTGACATAAAAAGAAAAATTTATTAGCAATTAACGTTTTCGCAAAGTGGAAAGGGCTACTTTGGGAGGTAGTGAGTTATTCTATCAAAAGAAGTCTTCAAGAAGGGTCTAGATTCTTGTCCAGAAATAAGATTCCCTCTGAAGTTCCTTTTAGCTCCAAGATTTTACTATTCTGTAATCCATATGAAAAGTGACAAAAAATCAGTTACTAATCCAGGTGATCTGTCTATATGCAGTCAATGTGTTTCTGAACATCTGGAAGGTTTAATGACTTTTTATCTAAACTTTTTGTATCATGCAGGTACTATTAAGCCACCTTCTGTTTTTCTTTCTAGTCCAGTGGTTTACTCTCTGATTCTGCTACATCCTCAAATTTTCAGGTCTCTCTGGATACTATACAAAGTTCTCCTCCCCCTCTCTCCTTTCCTTTTTCTTTCCTTCCCTCCTTCCCTCCCTTGCTTCCTTCTTGTCTCCTCTTCCATTTCTCTCTCCTTCCTTTCCTTCTTCCCTCTTTCTCTCCCTCCCTTCCCTTCTATGTCCTTCCCTGTTCTTCTCTTTCAAATGGGTCTTTTTGAATATTTTTTCACTCAGCAAAACACTATTGACTTCAGGATCCAGTAATCTCAATTCTTTAGAGGACTAAATTTTTGTATACAATATCATAAATATTCACCCCATCATTATTTGAAACTTGCAAGATTTGAAGGAAACAGTAAGTAACTTGGAGCCAAAATCCACACAGATGTGGGATTTCAGGAGCACTAACATAAGTATTCCTTTCACTAAAAGAAATGATTTTAAAACCTTTTAAAACATGTAGTCACATAATTCCTTTTGCAAACACCTTAATTATTGATTTATCCATTTTCATAGCCATCTTTAGCTTGCATCTTAACATGACAGTTTCATTGCTGCATGTCTGACCTCTATAATTTGGCTTATAGAGGTCAGACCAAGAGGGAATAAGCTCAAACACGAGCAGGAGAATAGACAAGAGGAGCAATTTCCTGAGACAATAAGGCTGAACTGTATTACCGAGGAATTAAATAAAAATCTCTTTCCCTGGAGTTCCAGAAGGAAGAGAATACACATCTTGTCAGAGGGTCTAACATTATGTTTTTTGACAATTAGGTGGTAAGCTGATGTTTACTGGCCCAGGACCCATTGAGCTCCATGCTCACTGCATCCTTGTGTCCCATGGTGGTGAGCTCCAGATAGGATCCCAGGATGAACCTTACCATGGCAAAGCTCTGATCCACCTCCATGGGAGTTCTCCTTCTACCGTCTTCTTTCCATATGGAGCCAAATTTCTCGCTGTGAGGAATGGAACGCTGTCCCTGCATGGTGAGTCAGGCTGGCGAGCAGCAGAACGAGTGTGCTAGAGATTTTACTTTTGGTCTGGACTGTGATTTTTCTGTGCTCGTGTTCCCTTCCCAGAAGAGAACTCACCCCACTAAAGCTTATTGGCAACTACTCGGAAACTTTGTTTCCGAGTTCTCTAGAGGCACTGAGAGGTTAATTGACATCACATACCTGCCCAGTGTGTAGCATAGGCAGGATGTAAATCACACAGTGTCCCAAATGAGCCATCATTTGTGCTGGAGATATGTCTGTTAAATCTGGATATACTGGGAAATATGATTAGTGAATTCTCTGCTTGCTAAATGATGTGGAAGAAAGGCCAGTCTGGTTTCAGCATGGGGCTATTCCTTTAAACCAGATAATGTCTCTGTGTTGTCATTATTACTTACATCTGTGTGCCTCAGGCAACTCCCTAGGACTTATCTACTATCTGTGATCTGTGATGGTGCAGGGAGTTTCCCCCATACTGATGAAATCATAGAGCCTTTGCTGTCATGATTATTTAATACTTATTGATTCTTTCCTACTTCTACGGGCCAGCGTCAAACAGAACATAGAGAGGCTTCTCTTTTAATCTCTACCACCCCTCCCAATGTGCTGAGAAGGTTATTTCCAGAGATCAAAGAAAGGACTTAGGATCAATCAATCAACAAGCATTTATTAAGCACCCACTATATTCTTGGCAATGGGGATACAAATATAACCATGAGGAACCTACATACAATTTTCTGTACCCTACAGTACCTCAGTCTGGCCTTTGATCAACAGATACCACCTACCCCCAATTTTCTAAAACAGAAGCGTTTCCTTTAGTTTATTAAAAAAAAAAAAGATTAACTGGCAATTTTTGAGGCGGTAGAAGTTGCAAAGAGGTAAAATTTAGGCTTCATGTAAGATAAGCCTTCCAAACAGTTAGAACCAGATTAGAAAAAAATAGCCAGAGATTTAAAGAGGGTGGATAAATTGAGGCTTTGTTTAGGGTGCCAGCCATCAGGGACTATGCTTTTCCATGTCTCATAAAACTCAGGCAATCTTGTGCCATGCATAGTATGACTACTATCTCAATCACATTCCATTTCTTTCCTGGTTCTAGGGGCCTGTGCCTCCAAAGGAATGCTACCCTGCTTTCTCCTAGTGCCTTCTACCCACTAGCTGATTCCTTATCCTCCCCCACCCGCCACTTCAGCCTACTCGTTGGATTTGGAGGGTCCAGGGATGTTCCACAGGAATTGGATTTTTGGGGAGAGGGATGTTCCTCCCTGTCCTCCTTGACCTCAAGTGACCCAACTCAACCCTACTCCCTCCCCAGCAGCAGCTTCAGGATGTCCCAGGGTCTGCATCTCTGCTCCCACTGAGCCTTGTTTCCTGACTTCTCTCCCCACTTTTTCCCTCACCCTTGGCCCAGGTACTAGAATTTCTAAGAAGAGACCATGAAGGTGCTAATTAGCTTATCTTTCTATAAAGCTTTACGTACAGTATGTTCTTTGATCCTATTTTTTAGGTGGGTAGTTCAAGAATCATTCATCTCACTTTGCAAATGAAGAAATTGAGGCTTATAAAGGTTAAGTGACTTGTCCAAATTGCACACATCTAGGAGCTACTGTGTCATTTGAGGATGGGTACAGTAAATTTCAGAGAGCTCCCTCTGCGTACCTCTTCCCTGCCCCCAAAGTCTATTCTGGATCCTTGAATCCCAAGCTAGTTCTTAAACTCAAATTTCCTGACTCCCAAGTCCTGTGTTCTTGTCAGTACAACACCATTTCTCTTGTGATGTTAAATACATTTATATAGTGCTAGGAGACCAACAGATGGGAAGGGATAACGAAGTGAATGTTTAATATAAAAGTCTGACAATTTATATATAGATCATTAGCAATAATATTCACTTTAGTACTTTAAAATGTCTATTTTTGGCTCAGATTCCTTAAGAACCTAGCCAATATCTCAGAAATGTTCAGATTCCTTAAGAGTCTGGCCAATATGGTAGATCTTTAATAAACCTTGTCTTTGGCTAAAAAAAAAATGTCTATCTTTAAGCTTTTGTGTTAGCTTTCTTGTTAGCCATAGATCAGATCATTCAAGACAAAAAAGCTTTCTGAGTGTACAGATGATAGGTGTTCACATTGTGTGACCACTATTTTCACTCTCCTAATTCTCTTTTCTTTTTGTTCTTATCACCTAGCTTTTCCTGTGGTCTTGAAGTCTAGCAATATTGAAGGATACTCCTTAATTATTTTGAGAACTTGAACTTGGGATCAGCAAACCACTTAGGTAAACAGACTTTATACAGTGCCTGATGTCCTTCTGCCTTTTAAAACTGGGATAAGAAAGAGGAGAGGGCATGAGATCAGAGTATCAAAAGGGATCTCTTTCAGTAAGGTCTTCTATACCTCTCCATCATGGTTCTTCCATCCTTGTACATGTGGGAAGCTTTCCTTGCCTTTATACAGAAGTCTAGTAAGCTCTTTGAGGGAAGGGACCCTATCTTAAATTAGGGATCTCCCACAGCAAGTGATACAAATGCCTTACATATAATTAGTATCCAATCAATACTTGCTGATTGATTGTTGAAACTGGCACTAGTGGTGGCATTGTTACACTACCAACTGGATGCCATCAAAATGCAATGAGTAAGTTACTAGCTATGAAAACATTAGTCAAAACAAACAGTTTCCTGCAATTCTCTTCTTTCTCTGGTTGCCTTGGATCATTTCTCACCCAAACATTTTGGTACAATCCAATGATCCACCTGGTACAACCTGAAGGACCTAATTAGGCCACCAATGGCTCCATACTTTGATGACCACTGTGCTAGGGAGTACTACCACTATAATTTTTGCTGGAATTTAAAATTCAAATGAAAAATATTAATAGCTCATTTTATAGTGCTCTACAGTTTAGAAAATACTTTTGGTATAGTAACTCTTTGGGACAGGTAAAACAAATATCACCTCCATTTTCTAGATGAGGAAATTGAATCTGGGAGAAGTTAGCCGTCTTGCTTACAGCGAGCAGGTTAGGAAATTGCAGATTTGAGACTCCAATTTTGGTCTTCTGTCTCCGAGTTCATTGATCTCCCTATGCTACCTTTTTTAGGGACGAAATTTATCCTTATTCGTCTACTAGAGAGTAATTCTCACCATTTCTCCTTCTATTTTAGTTAATAGGGATAGGGAGTGGATCTGTGATTTCTTTGCTACTGAGAACTTGTAGATTAAGGAAACATCTACCAATTCACTTTCTACACCATTTATTGTATTAAAGAGTTGTCTAGAGGACTGAGAGGTTAAATAACTTATGCAATGACACATATTCAGGATGTTTCAGAGGCAGGACTTGAATACAGGTCTTCCTGGCTTCAAGAGTCGTTCTCTAGCCCCTAACCCACACAACCCTCCTTCCCTCTTTTTTGGTAAATAACAAAAAGATTAAGGATGGTTTTTGAAATTTATTTTTAATGCCTTTTCATTGATATCTTTTGTTTTTGTCACCTTGATTTCCATATATATGCTTTCCTCTCCCTACCCCCTACAACCATCTCTTAAAACAGAGAAAGGAAAAGAAGAGGGGAGAAAAAAAACAGTACAGCAAGCATAACAAAAACATCATTACAGTCTGACAATATATGAGTTGTACCACACCTAGTGGTCCCCAAATTTTTGCTTGCAGGTCTGTGCTTCCAATGTACATTGTTCTTTATGTGCTTAAAATACATTGGAAAGGAAAGCTCAACTGATATGGCTTACAATCAATAGCAGGCAATAAAGGCAAGCCATCCCCTCCCCCTAAATACACGTCCAGGTTTGTGAAATTAAAAATAGATATTGCTACTTGACAACCACGGTGGTGGTTCTGGCAGCTACAAGCACAAAGGCCTACTCCTATTTTTCTTCCTAGCTCCTTTTGTGCTTTCTTGGGGCCATGTTGAAGGTAGAGACTACATAACAAATTGCCCGGGGCCCCATATGGGAAGAACTAGGAGCTCAATGATACAAAAGAGCAGTAATCTAGAAGACAGATGAATGCAAGTATTTTCTTGCCTAAGATACAGACGTTCACATGTGCTGTTTATTTGAATGGTCTGTGATTGAGTAAGGAGCATAGGTGTTCTGTGAGATATTTTGTTTTATTGAATAATTAAAGAATCAGAAAGTATAGCAGCTGAGTGATCCAATCTTTATATATTACTTCAAGAGCAGATCACCATCTGAGCTCAAGTCAAGTCAACAAGCCTTTATTAAGGGCCTATTAATGACCCTGGGCAAGTCACTTAACCCCTGGTTGTCTTAATCCACTGGAGAAAGCAATGGCAAACCACTCCAGTATCCTTGCCAAGAAAATCCAATGGACAGTACTGACATGCTATGGTCCGTGGGGTCATGAAGAGTTAAGTTGGACAAAACTAAATGCCTGAGGGGCAGCTAGGTGGTGCAGTGGATAGAGCACCAGCCCTGGAGTTAGGAGGACCTGAGTTCAAATCTGACCTCAGACACTTGACACTAGCTGTGTGCTCTGGGCAAGTCACTTAACCCCAATTGCCTCACCCCAAAAAAGAAAAGAATGACTGAACAACAGCTCTGCATCAGGCATAGTGCTAGATATTAGGAATACAAAAAAAGGCTAGCCATCTCTGCTCTCAAGGAGTTCATGGTCTAATGAGGGAAGGAAAATGCCAACTACGTACAAACAGGATAAATTGCAGGTAATCAACAGAGAGAAAGCACTAGAATTAAGGGGGATCAGGAAAGGCTTCCTGAGGAAAATGGGATTTTAGCTGGGATCTGAAGGAAGCCAGGGAATTTAGAAGGCAGAGATGGGGATTCAGAGAGTTCCAGGCAGGGGAAAATAGCCAGTGAAAATGCCTAGAGTTAGGAGATGGAGCCATCTTGTGTGAGGAACAGCTTGGAGGACTTTGTCATTGGATCTCAGAGTATATAGAAGGGAGAGAGTCAGAAAAAGATTAGAAAAGTAGGAAGAGGCCA